TTTGTATATTTATCTCACATTTAACCGACTTTGTTAAGCTTAGATTAAATAAATACTTTGTTATTTTGTTAAACCTGTCTCCTGTCTTTGAAAGGACGCCTGCCGACTTGCTCACCTCCCTCGCCACTCGATAGAAAGCCATCCGAAATGACAGCATGAGCGGTCTTTGCAGACTGTTGCCGAGTAAGTGGTCAGAAGGAATTAACCCTTGGCCCATGATATCTCACAAAAATAATAAACACTATTCTGCTAGAAAAGATGTAAGGTTCATGTGAACATGTAAAGGAATAAATAATTCAAAAAAATACAAATAATAATAACAATATACTAGAACAGGTCTGAGAATATCTGTATTGTGGTCATCTAATAATTGATGATGGAAAAGTTGATTTGAAAAACTAAAAAAGTGATATTACAAGATTACTACTAACAGCATAATAAATCTACTTATCTGAAAAAATAACAGAACAAAAACAAAACTAAGTGCTAATAGAAGCTACATGTGGTCAACACTATGGTACTATGGTCAGAGAATATTAAAAAAGATTGAAAGCATGAGGCCTTTGAAAAAAAAATACTGAGAATCCTTTAGATGGCAAAAATACTAAGAAATATATATTAGAAGCAATAAGTGAAAAATTAAATCTAATAATAGTGATATAAAAGTAATACTAGCATACCAACCATCAGCACTTGGCACTGATCAGTAACATTTTCTGTGCTCAATGGACAGATTGCTTTTACCTTTTGACAGCATTTTTAAAGAATTTGATATTATCATATAAATACTTTATTTAATGAATCTAATACCTATATGTACACCAAAGACATTGTATGTATTTTTATTACGAATGACTGAAGCAAACTAGAAAGACATTCTCAGATTCATTCAATTGGGAAAGAACCAAGATTGATATTTTTATATATGTATGTTGGTATACATGTAAGAATTTTGGCTCAAATATGATAATTTTAAATGGCAGATATGATAAATTGCATCTTCAAGTCTGGCAATGTTAATGTAATCTCATTGGCGGTTAAATCAATCATGGCAGACTCATCAGCATAAGGAAACAAGTTACTTTTACAGTTAGACTAAATTATTGAGCAGTGCTACAGTTTCTCCACCCAAAATGAAGAAACATCTAATTCATAGCTTAAGAATATACAGATAGAGCCACATTAAGCTTTTTATAAGCCCTAGATACTTTCTAATTTTTTAAATATAAACTTTTTCTTTTATTTTTTAAAATTATTTCTGGATTGCAAAATAGTACAAGAATTATTGCTGCTACAAAAAGAGCAGAACTTAGTATTAAGCTTTCCTAATACAAATATTGCTCTTAGAATGTAGGCTACAGTATAAGTCAATCCTAGGATCAAATTCTGAAAGAGAACAATTTTTTCAGCATTAAATTGCATTAAAAGCATTTAAAATCTAATTTGTCTCAAACAAAATTATCACATTTATCTGTACTTTCCATAGAAAGGAAAACATTAAAACAGTTGCCAGTTGAAGAAATTATTAAAGATTTTGCACACAAAAAGTGTAGAAAAGTCTACATAAAATAAACTAACTGAACAAAACTTTAATGTTTTATTTTAATTTTCATAACTTCTATTTTTTCGATTTTTAATTTTGTAGCCCCTTAATTTTTCATAGGCCCTAAGTACTGTTCCTAAAGTGCATAATGGATAAGACAGTCCTGTATACAGGCCATATGGTTTGAACTTTCTCAAGAAAAGAATTTTACAGCTTTACTATTTTATAAAGATTTGAAATCTTTGAAAAATAGTAAGGCTGATGATGGTTTTACCACACAGTCTTGCAGGACCTCCCCCTGCATTGCTGTGTGGCAAAAGGAAAAGATATTCAGTACGGTAAGAAAAAGACAGAGATAAAAAATAAATGACCAGAGAAATTATTATCCTTAGTAATTGCAATGAAAGTCAATACTTATGTTTATGGCACTAGCTTTATAAGATATCATATACAGAGATAACATTAAATTTTGTTTATTAAAGATAAAGATATTTAATATAAGCATTGTGCAATATCAATGTTAATTAATAAAGAATTTTTTTGCTTTTTATACTGTCAGCATTTTTGTTCAAAAATCAGCAACTTTCTACCAACATCCCATCTATTCCCCATTCTAAAAGGTTGATAAGTATGTAATAGTGATCAGTTTCACTTTCATCACATAAACTTAGGCAACTGTTACTTTTTTACACTTGAACTGTAGCTTAATAGGTCTGTTGAATGGTAAAGAGAAAAATACAAGTCACAATTTCTTTGGCTTGTCCCTCTAACTCTTCAATGATTTATTCTTGGCTACAGGATTGCTGAAAGATAACGATGTCACAAATCATCTAGCAGAAGAAGACTTCAAAAAGATTTTATATTCCTATTTGTCTCCAAAAAAATTGTGCATTTATAATATTGATAAATAATCTAAAATAGTAATGGCCAACTTCAGAATGACTAAAAGAAAGAAAGAAATGTGTTATTAATTAAGAGACCATAACTTAAAATTTATAAGCACTAAATATCTTAAGAATGAAATTAAAAAAAGAAAGCTTTAAAATTGTAACATTCAAAATTTAATATTCATTTTACAATGCAAAATTATTTTAAAATATTTTCAGTTGACGTTACTTTTAGTGAGAACATTGTGGTCTCTCAAAATTCAGCAACTTGGATCCAAAGAGCAACTACATAAAAACCATAAAGTCTGGTGATGCCTTCCCCTCAACAACTGACAAATAAATTAATTTGATGCTAGCTTCATCTAATGACAAAAATTCATAAGCTTAACAAGTTTTCATTCCCCTATTAGTATTTCTAGTTTGAAGATAATTTTGGTATCCTTAACACAATATACAATATGAAATATTGTATATCGATCTAACTTTGCTAAAGATGTCAAAATTGTCTTCAAACTAGAAAACTAATATTTGGTATGTTTAATAGCAGTATGTACTGATATAGGAATGCAAACTTGTTAAGCTTATGCAAGTATGTCATGAATGTAAACTTGCAGACTACATACATGACATACTTGCAGCCATATTCACATTTCTTAGCAATAAAATCAATATATAAAGGTTCTATATGCACATACATGACTGAAATCAACTTCAGAATAAAATGTCCTATCCTGTATATCATTAAGGTTCCATCAACATCTCTTGGTCAGAGTCGAGGGATAGTGTTGGGTTGAACACCTAAGATCGACCTTTCTCATGACCCAATCTGATCTTATTTCCACCTGGAAACAGGGGAGAAGACCAATTGGGAAACAATGAGAGGGAATCGGAACCAATTGGAGAAGGAAATTCAGAAATGAAATCTCTTAAATACCCCAAATTTCAAGGACAGAGGGCAGATTTCAGTCATTTTGTATCGTCCAAATTAACCCATGCACAATTCTTGTCATTGTATGCCATCACTCCTAACAAAGTCCTGTCATTCCTGCCTGTGCTTTGCTGTTGTCCTTCATCTGCCTAAGAGCAACCCATGACACCACCCCAGGTCCCAATAACTCAAAGAGGTTACAACAGCTAAAAATTAGGACTCTATTGATCTTCATCAGAGAGAAGAAGAATCTCCCAAAACACCTTGTAAGCTATTCTTATATAAAATAAACAGGTTTCATTTGTAAAGGTACCAGAGTCAGTGTGAGTCCACCACTACTCACATACAATTCTAACCCTTCATACATTCTGATGTGAGTTTAACTAGCTCCACTTTCTGGGTCGGCAAACCTCACATATAAAATCATAACAAATTTTAATCTTTTTTGATGTAAAGATAGAAAAATAAGTTTTAATTGATATTTAGAGAAAAATTTATAAGTTTGAAACTCTCATTAAATAACACCTATCAATATTAACAGAGTTGCTACACAAAATAAACTAAGTAATACTAAGTAAACTTTCTTTTGAAGGTAGAAGAAAATAAGTATGGAAGTAAGCAAATAACAAAGTAAGTAAATATACTTTCATTCTCTGTGAAAGAATTAAAGTATATTATAATATATAATTATATGTATCTTGCAGTTACAATTTACTACGCTAAGCAACTGACTAAGACAAGGAAGTGAAATAATTGATAATTTACAAGTAATTTTATTCATTGCAAGACATTCTGTTATAGTAGAGTTATAATTTTTATCATATTTTTAACATTTAAAATTTTTGTTTTATGAATTTATAATTTTAAAATAAAAGTTTGTTTAATTTTTACAATTTGATGAATTTTAATTGTAATTTTAACGTTGATCAATTTTTATTACTTTTTAAAGTTTTTATTTTATATAATGTCATAAAACACATTTCTAATAGCAAACTATAACAGAAAACTTTTGAAATATTCCATTCTTCCTACTTTATGCATGCCTTTTGAAAATGAAATGACTTAACTCAAAAATTTGTAAAGTACCATAAAAAGTTCTTTATAATATTAAAAGATCGTTTCTCTTCAAGTATAAAATAAAAATTAATTAGATTTCTAAATAAAATTGTAATAATTAATGAGGTTGAAAATGAATAGTAAATTTTTATTATAGCAAACATTCTAAACAAATAAATTTGTAAACATTTAAAACCACAGCTGAAAATAAAATATTAAGATTAATATAGGAAAAAATTATAAAAATAGATATTTTCATGAAATTTGATAATTTTCATTTTCAAATCTTTTTTGTTTACTATTAACTTGCAAATATAAGAAATAAGAAATTATATTAATATATGTTTTATGAATTATAATATTAATATTATATAATGATGTATTTTGTATATGATTTAAAAACTTTGATGGTATATCATTTTATCATTTAAACTGAATAATTTTTATTCAATTTAAAATCCTATTATTTCATTCAATTTAAAAAATTCTATCCATTAATAAGAATCATCTTCAGATTAGAAAAATAAACAATATTTTACATTCTCAGCCATGTCCTCTTGAACAAAGTATTTAAATACATTTATACCTTTGAGTTTAACTTTCTTTGTCACTTGAAATACAATGATACCAAGTGGACATGCATCAAGAGCAAAATGCAGTGAACATGAAAAAAAAAGAAAGACACAGTTAGTTTCACAAAGTCATTGCAGGCAAATATATAGGAGAATATAATCAGAAGAAACTAAAAACAAAAATGAAAAAACTTTAAAATAAAAAAGTTTTTAAGCTTTTAATATCGTTTACAATTTACACATCAAAATGCAAAGCTAACATCAAAACAATCACAAATACAATACACAAATCTGAGAGAAACATAACTTCTAACAAATAAACATTTTATAAGCTATTGATGAATTAAAACTGACACACTGCATTACATTCTATACATTAATATAAAAAACTGTATTTTTCATACATCAATTTTTTTCTATTAACAAATAAGAATTTAAAGTAGACAATTATTTCTAGAAAGTAGCAAACAACAACAATTAGAAAAAGAATTAAATGATTATATAAAACAGATGTAAAAAATGGATAAATCTAAATTTGTTCTCTTCTGTTTGACATGCTTTTCACTTTGTTACTATAATCAGTTTTTAATAATCTACGTAATAATTCATATAATACTGTTATATAAAAAAAATAAAATATTTTTGCTATTCTCAAAATGAAAGTAACATTTCTATTAATTTCTAGTTAAAAAAACTTTTATAATTGATTTACTAATAAATTAATGTAATAAAATATGATTACCACAACAAAAGTCCATTCTATTATGAAGAAAATCATCCCACAGGCCCTACGATCAAAGGAATAATTTCAGTTTTCAGCCCCCAAAACAAATGGTTAACATGAGGCCCCATAACAAAATTAACTAAATTTATGATATAATTTTTTCATTTATCTTTCATTTCTTTGAACAAATTACTATTGAATATATTTAAGCTGCTATAAGGGACAAACTAGCCACTGTATTACTCAGCTAAATTAATTAATGCACCTTTAACAGTTGGTAAACTCTGAAAAACACTAATGTTTTCAATGCAATTAATGGATCATCTTCAGGCATAGGTACAGTGACCATATTTTTTGGGGGAAAATAAAGGACATATCGAAGAAAATCAAAAAATACCTTATAAAATTCGTAAGTTTATAACATTTATTATGAAAATAGTAGCATACAACAATGCATACATTAAAATTTTAAACAATCTGAATTATTACACATACACACATTGTAAAAATTTAAATAACATTAATTTTGATACTTTTCAGTAGAATTAATTTTTTTATAGCGCCGTTTCACGCTTTAAAGTCATAAAATTCCATACAGTTCATTTGAAAGTTGTATTTGACAGAAATACATGCTTCTAATGTGCTTACTTTTAAATGGGTTTTTTCATTCGTCCGCATATTATTCAGCAATGAAAATATTCAATCAACAGGGGCATTAGATCCAGGAAAAAAAAAAAATTCTACGATTTTACAAACGTTTTTGAAAACAATTTCTTCTGCTGTAAAATGTTCAAAAATCTCAATCCACCTTTGATGGCAGGGCTGGTTATTCTGTCACCATTCGTCGATCTTTTCGTTTGTGACATATTTTTTTACACATGAAACTTCATCAAATAATTCACCGTCGAGTATATTTACGGACCAATGATTCGAAATAAAGATATAGCTTTCCTCTACCTTCGCCCACAAAGGGATTTCACATAATGTGACCCATTCAAACACCTCTATTTCAATAAAAAACATGTCCCAATCATTTAGATAATCTATGCACGTTTGATAAAATGTGTACACAACATCATTGAATTTTTTGGCTTGTATATTTTCTGATTTTTCTAATGCTAAGACCACTTTTCTAATAACAATAGGAAGAAACCCCTCATTTTTTCTTTCAACTAACTTTAGCTTTAATTAACAAGTGTATCATCCACCAACTAGAGAGTTAAAAAACTATCACAAAAATCCCCATAAGAGTGTCCACCCCCTGGTACTGTCAGTGGGCCGTTTGGTTGGCGACACACTGCACTACTGCGCTCTATGTAGCAATGCAACACTGATCGTGATGGCGTACACAAAACTAACTTGTTCAATATATTATTAAAAATTTTTTTTAAACTTTGCGTCAACTTTACAAAATAAAGGACAAAATGCCTATTTTAGAAAATAAATAAAGTTGAAGGACAAAGCAGTGAAATAAAGGACTGTCCTCTTAAATAAAGGACGTATGGTCACTGTAGGCATAGGCAATAAAAAGTGAAAAATTTTTACTATTCACTATCCATACAAGCAAGCAAATAGTTGTCACACAAAAAACCACTAGGTTTAATTCGTACAGAATTAAACCTAGTGGTTTAATTCTGTATGTGGCTGATAAATACAATCACTCCTGGAAATAAGGAATACTTCATAATATTGATGATTTTTCTGGATACAATGACACATAATCTTCTTCATGGCAAAGATAAAGTAAAAGAGAAAATTAAAAAATATGTTGTTTATGTAAATAACAAATTTGGCCAAATACCAAAAGTATTTTGAAGTGAAAATGGAATAAAATATCTAATGTCTAATATCTAATATCTTTTAAAAAAAATGGGATTGAGTATCAAACCACTGCAACTGGCAATCCAGAGCAGAATGGAATTGTCTATAGAAAAAACAGAACACACTGCAATAATGCCTAAAGTATTCTATTTGATGCTGAATTTTCTAAAACTTATTGGGGAAAAGCAATTTCAACAGCATATGCTACATTCAAAATAGTCTTTCTAGTAGAGCCATTGACAAAACACCATAAGAATTGTGGACTGGAAAGAAGCTGAATGTGCAAAATTTAAGTGTTCAGAAGTAAGGTGTAGGTACATATTCTAAAAAAACAAAAAAACAGGTGCATGAAGTGGGATGCTCATGCAAAGGAAGAAATAGCAGGAAGGAAAATTTGTTGTGTATAGCATTATTAATAGTTTTTTATTGCTAGCACTTTCAATTGAAAGTATTGCTAGCACTTTCAATGAACCTATTTTCATCATCATCAGGCAAATAAAAATTTTAAAATCTAACATAAATGTTTGAACAAGAATGAAACACATTATTTTTAAATAATATGCATTCCATTTCTTCACAGTGAATTTTTCTTCCTGCTTTTTAATATTTGGCATGAGAATTCAACTGTATTGTATTAAAGGAAGGAATTTTAATCAGATATAACAAAACACTGAAAGGTTACAGGATTTTGTTTCCAGAAACTCAAATCACTGTGAGCAGGAGTGTCATTATAGACAAAAATTCTCTGGTAATGAATATCATTGCTAGCCCTAACTTAGGACTAGAGAGATAGTGAGTTTCCTTCTTAAATGCAGAAAAATCTGAGTACATACTATGTCAATCTACAGACTGAAACTACCACTCAGATGCGATACATTCAACCCTAAAGTACGTTTCTTGTGTTTTTGCAAATCAATTAGAAATGCCAAGCAGAATATGTAAGGAAAGCTACAGATCCTCATAGAACTTGAAAATAAAATATTTGTAGAGGACCCTGAGTTACTAGACAAAGTTAAGGCCTAAGTTGTTAAACTGGAGAAGCAGGTGCATAGCAGAGTGTAGAAAAGCAATGTGAAAAAATTATTATGATTATAACCAAGCAAAAACATAACTTAAGAATGTATCCAAATAATACCATAATCTGTTGGAACCATATTATACCATCAATTTCCTTAGCTGAGCATTCCAGTATGGCTCTACTTCTGCTCTGATGCCATATTCTACATTCCCAGAATCAGTTATCCTTTATCTTGAAAAGCACTTGAGTATGCAAAAAGCACATATGCAGCTAGATTGCCTTCATGGCAGACAGTGTTTAATATAAAGAATAATGCATCTACTAGGCTGGACCATGGTATATTAGGAGATATCTCAAAAAGCCAAAAATAGCTCAAAATGATATCATACTAATCAAAGCTGATAAAACTAGAAATGTTTCTTTGAAGAAATCTACATACATCAAATAAATAGAAAAATAACAAAACACACTTCTCTATCACTGGAAATGTATTATCTTCAGACCACTGAATGTCTTTAGCTTCCAGCAAAACGTAAAATGTATCAATTTACAAACATTTTCAGAATCCACCTGATTCTACACTTGCATTCTACTGCATGCATTCCAATTTGAAATGAACTCTTTCAATCTGAAGCTGGAATCAAGTGGATTCTGAAAACATTTGTAAAATATAAAACAAACACCTTTCTCTATTCCAGCACACTTTTAATGCGTTGAAAAACGTTTTCGATCGTTTTAATCGATCATCCTCAGTTCAAAATTCGAACTCAAACGAACAAAGTATTCGAAAAATACAAAAAATTTTTTTACATCGCTAATTTACGACTTAATGCTAAAGCGCATGCGCGTACTTATACGTGTTTGTTTTATATTTATATAATACTTCCAGTAAGAATTTAGTTATTTATTTAAACATTTGTAAATTGATACATTTTACAAATGTTTTCAGAATCTGAACATTTTGCTGGAAGCTGAAGAGGTTCAGTGGTCTAAAAAAAAAAATGAAATACAAAGTTGATACAGAGTGCATACAGATTGAGACTGAGTACATGGACAAAACTACAAAGTAACACACTCATCATACACACTAAATTAGCCAGCCTTATAAGTCTTACTGATGCCACTATAGCTTTGCCAGACACCCCAGGCTTTTTGGTTATGCCAAAACCCATAAAGAGGGCCAGCAAATAAAGCCAATACTTGACAAAACTAGACTGCCTACAATACTGGTTGAAAACAGAATCCATCAAGTTCTCTAGAAATACCTCCAAAGATACTAATATGTATATCAAATAGCATTGAACCAGTCTCAAAGTTAGAGAATATTTTGATAATGGGAGCTGAGCCCTTCATAGTCCTCATTCTTATCTCAATGTTTTACTCAATAAAACTTGAATCTTGCTTCTGTGCAATTAAAGGATGCCCTCTTCAGCCTAAAAGGTGAAAATAAATACCATTACCTGATCTTGGATCTCACCCACATATTATGTTACTTGTCTTTCTGTTAACAATTTTATGTATTTACAGAAGGGAGGTGTCACAATGGGAAGTTTCATATCTGGA